CAAACACACACCCTCTAAACCCTAAACCCTAAATCCTAAACCCCAAACCCAAAACCAACCCTAAACCCAAAACCCTAAACCCTAACCCATCGATCTTGACCTTTCCTAACCTTTGATAGCGGCTTCCGCCGAGCCCACCGACAGAAAGGCGGGTCTCCCCAAAGAACGGGAAAGCCAACAGAGAACCGCCCTAGAAGTTTGCTTTAAGGGTTTATGGTTTAGGACTTAGGGTTTAGGGTTACCCTAAGCCCTAAACCCTGAACCCTAAACCCGAAAGCCTAACCACTAAAACTTAAACCCTAAACACAAACAAGTTGAGATGAGTTAGGGGTGTCGGGGCGGGGGCTTCGCACCCGTGCGGGCGACCTCACTGGACCCCAAACCTCGCGATGCTTTCCTCCAGAACCCTTAATCCCTTCCCTCTATTATTAAACAGCCCCCGCCCCCTTTCCCCCAATAGAAACTCGAAATGTGCTTGTAGCATTAGGGGGATGTTTTTATCCAGATGCCATCTCTTGGGATAGGGTTTACACTGGCTTGAAGGTTTGTGAGGCTCTGAAATTCGGAATAGGGTTTGAAAGGCCGGGTCGGTTTCGGCAGGATTTTCCCGAAAGTGTTTTTACAATCAGGGGGACGTTTACTACACGGGGGAAGGGATGAACCCTAAACCTAAACCCTAAACCCTAAACCCTAAACCCTAAACCCTAAACCCTAAACCCTAAACCCTAAACCCTAAACCCTAAACCCTAAACCCTAAACCCTAAACCCTAAACCCTAAACCCTAAACCCTAAACCCTAAACCCTAAACCCTAAACCCTAAACCCTAAACCCTAAACCCTAAACCCTAAACCCTAAACCCTAAACCCTAAACCCAAACCCTAAACCCTAAACTGAGTGAGCCCGGGGCCGTCGAGCAGGGCGAACGCGCCGAAGCCGGCAGGCGAGGCAGCTCCGGAGCCAGAACCCCTCCGGCGGGCGACGGAGCTACAGTCCCGCAGGCAGCTGCGGGCTGCGCGGTGGACCCGGCAGGTCGCTGGCGAGAAACCCGTCAGGTCGCCCTAGAATAAGATACCCCAAACCTTCGGGTAAAACATCGCAACCTCCTGCCGGAAGGCCGCTGCCTGGGAGGCCTGCCTGGGAGGCGCCTGCCTGGGAGGCCCCTGCCTGGGAGGCCCTGTGTGGGAAAGCCCCTGCCTGGGGAGGGCCTGGAGGCCCCTGCCTGGGAGGCCCCTGCCTCCTTGGAAGGCCCCGCCTGGCCTGGCTGGGAGGTTTCTGCCTGGGAGAGGTTTTGCTGCCTCCGACCCCTGTGTTGGAGGGTCTGCCTCAAACCCATGCCTGGGAGGCCCCCTGCCTGGAGGCCCTGTGTGGGAGGCCCTTGGCCCTGGTGGGAGGTCCTGCCTCAGGTGGTCGGGTCGGAGACCCCTGCCTGGGAGGAGGCCCGCCCGCCCCGCCGCCCTGCCTGGAGGCCCCCAAGCACCTGGCAGTTGTCTGCCAGGGAAACCTTTTACCTGAAAAGCAGGCTTTCGATGCAGAGCCCCAACCAAACCAGGACGCAGCATCACCAAGGACGAATGCGGCAGCCAGCCCCAAGCCCAAGCCTTCGCCAAGCCAAATTTCGGGTTTTTGAGAAAGACTCACTAGGAGGCTGTCAGCCTAGCACTGTTAGCATCTCCTGCTTGCCGGAATGGACTGAAAGGATCTCCTGCTTGCCGACCTTTTGCCTGACCTGAAGGATCCCCAAGCAAGATACAGCATCACCAAGAACGAATGCGGCAGCCAGCCCCAAGCCCAAACCTTCGGGTTTTTGGGACTCACTGGGAGGCCCCCGACTTAGTAGGAGGCTGTCAGCCTAGCACTGTTAGCATCTCCTGCTTGCCGGAATGGGACTGAAAGGATCTCCTGCTTGCCGACCTTTTGCCTGACCTGAAGGATCCCCAAGCAAGACGCAGCATCACCAAGAACGAATGCGGCAGCCAGCCCCAAGCCCAAACCTTCGGGTTTTTGAGAAAGACTCACTGGGAGGCCCCCCTGCCTGGGAGGCCCCTTGCCTGGGTAAAAGACAAAAATAACAAAAGTTGCAGCATCAGCACGGCGAAAGCCCAAACCTCTAATTTCACGCCCTTCCAACGCAGCATCGCCGAGGGCGAAGGCGGCAGCCAACCCCAAGCCCAAACCTCTGACTTTTGCAGCCCTCGACTGATAGACATCTCCCTTGCAATGCCTAGGGGCTACGAACTTCAGGGTAGTTGATCTGCATCGATGCCGAGCTTCAACCCAATGGACAAGAGAAAATTAACAAAAGCACGATCAGAGTTCAAAAGAACCCTAAACCCGTAGAGGTTAAGGCGAGGGTGGAGCGCCAGCGGGGGTGGGCTTATGCAAATCGGGGCGCGCGCCTGGGTGCTTTCAGCACCAGCGCGCCCACTCATTGAGACACCCTAAACCCTAAACCCTAAACCCTAAACCCTAAACCCTAACACGGTGAACTTTGGCGAGGCGTGACTTGCTGAGTTCCCATCGCTTTGCAACTTCCACCCGGCGAGGAAGAGACCTTGGTCAAAAGGCGTTTGCTGGGCGCTTCCAGGGGTTTAGGGTTTCGGGTTTCGGGTTTAGGGTTTAGGGTTGTTGGAGTTTGCATTTTGTGGTTTCAGGGGTTTCGCGTCAGCGTCCATGTAGCTAAATAGGGAGTACTTGGGCCTCAAAGTACCTCCTACATGTTGACTTTGGGGCCCAAGTATGTAATAATGAGGTGCGTGGGCCCTTAAGGTGTGAGTTGCGAAGAGCTGAGGGGTTGAAGATGTTTAGTGTTTAGGGGTGGGTGGGCTCTGGCTGCGCTGTGCATCTTAGGGGTAGCAACGTTAGTCACACACACACACACACACACACCCACACCCACACCCACACCCACACACACACACACTTTATCACACACACACACGTTGACTTGTCTGGAACTGATGAGACGGACGCTCGACTGGACAACATCAAGCATCACAGAACCCTCAAAAGCATCAATTGCTCTCCAACAGATGGTTCATTCGGAATTGCACAGCGAGGATGTTCAATAGATTCAACAATGCAAAGCATACACGATGGATGATGTCACAAATCTGTATTGAGCAGGTACACCGGAGCGGCCAACTCCGACTTCCCACATCACTGGTAGCTTCGTTGGACGCAGTCCCAGTGATGTGCTGCGTCCCTCCGCATGAAATTGAGAAAGGGCGTGACCCCAATCCTGCATGTACAGCAGGTTGCACACACACATATGCCCCAAGGGGCGACACACCAAAGCAGGCGCTGAGCCGGCTGCAAGAAAGACATGAATTACTCGGGAGCTGCCCGGCCATCATGGGCATCACGTATGGCAGCATCATGCCCCCGAAGGGCGGACGAGACAAAGACAGGTCAAACATCTTGAGACTGAGAACGCGCGAGGTAGATCATCACCACAACAGGAGTGAGTTCAGCAACACTTTACCAACATTAGCAGAGAGACATGTTAACTCATGCACATGAACAACAACGGCAAGAGGTGCAGAGGAAGTTCACCAACAACAACAGGAGGGAGGACAACACCACTTTACCAACATTAGCGGGGAGGACATGTGTCTGTGCCTGATGCAGCCTCAGTCAAACTACCTGTTCACAGCTGACGGGACAACACGAAGATCACAAAAGCAGTGCCGTCCGGTTACCCCTGCGTCTGCAATTTGGATGATCCCGATGACATGTCTGTGCTCGCACTCACTCATGTCACAAAGCCTACTGCAGATGATCCCGATGAATGAATATGTCAGTCAGCAGAGCTCAGTCAATCCCGGATGCCCGGGTCTTCTGGGATCTGGCCCCGTGACGGGACAACACGCCAGAACCATACACACGTTGACTTGTCTGGAACTGATGAGACGGACGCTCGACTGGACAACATCAAGCATCACAGAACCCTCAAAAGCATCAATTGCTCTCCAACAGATGGTTCATTCGGAATTGCACAGCGAGGATGTTCAATAGATTCAACAATGCAAAGCATACACGATGGATGATGTCACAAATCTGTATTGAGCAGGTACACCGGAGCGGCCAACTCCGACTTCCCACATCACTGGTAGCTTCGTTGGACGCAGTCCCAGTGATGTGCTGCGTCCCCCCGCATGAAATTGAGAAAGGGCGTGACCCCAATCCTGCATGTACAGCAGGTTGCACACACACACACACACACACACACACACACACACACACACGTGTTGGCCGCTGGTGTTCAGTGGCGCATAGGGTCCATTTACCGTACCATTTTCTGAATTACCTAAACTTGTGTGGATTGTTGCCGGCTGATCCGGGGTTAGAACCTGCTTAATCTGTTAGGTAAGCAGAGTCAAGGGTAGTGACTCTCAGCTATAACCCAAAGGATCCATGTACCTATATCGTATATACTTGGGCCTTAAAGGGGTTCCTATATAGTAGCTTTAGGGCCCAAGTATATACTATATAGGTACATGGATCCTTAGGGTAACCCCAAACCCAACTTATGGGCTTACCGTGCTTTAGGGGTCAGTGGGACGGGAGCTATGCATGGGGGTCTGGGTTGTTGGCCTATTCGGGCACGGGACCCCGTGAAGAGTTCCGCGTGGTTGGCGTGTTTGCAATCTACTCAGGAGGGAGTTTCCATAAGCATTAACTTACAGTAGGGCAGCATTTATTTGCTAGGACCCCGTACATGCGTACTCACCAGGTTCGCTAAGGATGTTTACTTTCAAAACCACAATATACACCGTACTTTCCTCTCCCCCTTTTGCCCTGTAAGGGATTCGAAAAGGACCTGACACCCCTAAACCCTACACTCGAAACTTCATATAAGGCTTGTAAGCATAAGAGGCATATGGGCACAACTAAGGGTATATGGTGGAAGTTTCCCGACTGAAATTTGCCCTCTACGCCCGAAAGCCTAAACCCCAAGCTGGCTTTCGTGCCGTTGACAAGGTTGTGAACATGCCATGTCATCAGAAATTGCAAATGTCCGGCGCCTCGGCCAGTCGGGTGCGCAAAGCACCCTCATCGGACTGTAGCGAAAGCCCAGTTTGCGCCAAAACCCTCTGGCAGATGGGGCAGAAGGGAGGCCGATGGGCTTGGGGGCTGATGGATGCCCGAGCTTTACTTTGCATCTCCAAAGTGGCAGGTGCTCCACCGCCAGAGCCCCAAAGCCCCAAAAGAGAATACGTAGTCAGGGTAGGAACGCTTCGCTATGTGAGCTTGGGGTAGGCAGTGCGCCGTTCTCATTTAGAAAAGGCGCAGATCCCGCAAGCGTCCCCTGATGCACAGCCGAAGCCCCAGGCCCTAGGCCCTAAACCCCACCCTAAAGTCTAAACCCTAAACCCTAAATTCTAAACCCTAAACCCTAAACCCTAAACCCGAAACCCTAAACCTGCAGGCCTGTGAAACCGAGTCGCTTCGCAGCAGCCGGTGGCAAACTTAATGGTTCGGCCGAGCCTCGGTCGATCACACTGGCCCACTAAAAGGAATGGGGGGGGTGGGGTTAGGGTTTAGGGTTTAGGGTTTAGGGTTTAGGGTTTAGGGTTTAGGGTTTAGGGTTTAGGGTTTAGGGTTTAGGGTTTAGGGTTTAGGGTGTAGGGTTTAGGGTTTAGGGTTTAGGGTTTAGGGTTTAGGGTTTGGGGTTTAAGGTCTAGAAGAGGTTTGGGGTTTAGGAAGTTTAGGGCTTGGGGCGGAAGGGTTCAGGGCTTAGGGTTTGCTGTTGGTTCATCGTGGAGGCTCCTGTAGTGGTCGGGTCTGGGATTTTCAGGGAACTGGGTTTAGGGCTCAGGTTTATGGCTTAGGTTTAGGGTTTCGGGTTTAGCGTTTAGGGTAACCCTAAACCCTAAATCCTAAGCCCCAAACCCTTAAACACGAAAAGTACAGGCAGCTTCGGGCAAATTAGGGCTGATGGCTTTCAGAAACTGGCGTTACCAAGGTCAAGGGTTCCCCTACTACCCGGCTCTATACTACCCCTGGTTCCCCCCCCATATTTCAGGCTATTCAACAATAATTTGTTTAAGATTTTTATAGGGGGGAACCTAGGGAGGTAGTCGGGAAACCGGGGGGGGGGGGGGGGGGGGGGTTGAAGCGCTCAATGTATCATAGGGATTGTTCGTCTCAAGGCTTCAGGGTTTCGGATAATTCGGCTCCAATGGTGTAGGAATTCTCCTAAACCCAAAACCCAAAACCCAAAACCCAAAACCCTAAACCCTAAAACGTAAACCCTGAACCCTAGAGTCGACATTTCAGGGCCAAGGGGAACTGCATCCGCAAACGCCTTTGGTAGGTCTTAGGGCCCAGTAACAACATAACCTGAAATGAAAAGTCTCAACCGTTAAACTCGCAACCTAAAGCCAAACCTAAAACCCTAAACCCTAAAGCCTAACATCGGAAACCCTAAACCCTAAACCCTAAACCCTAAACCCTAAACTCATTCCTCTTCCCCAATCTCTTCTTTGTCGGGTGCGGGGTTGATGGCTTAGGGCCCCTTTTTGTGTGTGGATGCCTAACTTTAAAATGATCGGAAGAATGCAACTGAGAATCATGTGCCCTCCCCCCCGGCCCCAACACAAGAAAGGAACTTAACTCAAGACCCTAAGCCTTAAACCCTGAACCTGCACTCATCCCCCTAAACTCTCAAGCTGAGTTGAGCGGAAACGATGTAACATTTTCTTATGAGTGGGTTCCCTTCTTAACGAAAGATGCTTAGGGTTTATATTTAGGGTTTAGGGTTTAGGAAACTGCAACAATCATCCCAAGCACAACTCAGTTAGGCCCAAATCCCCAGACTCCCAGCTTCTCGGATGCTGCTGCAGAGTGACCAAACTTTGGCGGGCTCGGAAGCACTGAACCCCTGTGCCAACATTTAGGGTTTAGGGTTTAGGGTTTAGGGTTTATCAGGGTTTAGGGGTCTAGGGCTTTCGTTCGAGACGTCTAGTTGAGGCTTTGGCTTGTTGGGGTTAGGGATTAGGGTTTCGAGTGTAAGGTTCTTTTGGGCATGAAGAACAAAACTAAACCTGAGGACTTGAAGACGAAAATTCTGTGCAGGGGCCTATTCAATTTCAGGGCTCAGGGCCATGATGAGCATTCGCCCTAAACCCTAAACCCTAAACCCTCAACCCTCAACCCTCAACCCTAAACCCTAAACCCTCTTCTTGTCCTTTGCTTTTGGGAAGGTTCACGGCTTCCGGGGGTTTGTGGTTACCTCGACATAGCCTGGCAGATGCCTGGTAGCCATCCCAGGGCCTGTAAGGGTCTCTTGGAGCGTGCGGTTTAGGGGTTTAGGGGTTTAGGGGTTTAGGGGTTTAGGGGTTTAGGGGCTTAGGGGTTTAGGGGTTTAGGGGTTTAGGGGTTTAGGGGTTTAGGGGTTTAGGGGTTTAGGGGTTTAGGGGTTGAGGGGTTTAGGGTTTAGGGGTTTAGGGGTTTAGGGGTTTAGGGTTTAGGGTTTAGGGGTTTAGGGGTTTAGGGGTTTAGGGGTTTAGGGGTTTAGGGGTTTGAGGTACTAGAGAATGCCCTGTGGGTTTACCGAGCACCTTATCCTCCATGAAGATCTCCGAAATCTTGTTCAGCTCGTCGCACTTGTAGTCCTCGAAGAAGAACCTCGCCAGCATACCAAGGACTCCTAGCTGCAGACATGCTGCTCGGTGTACCTATTTCCGGCTACCCTAAACCCTAAACCCTAAACCCTAAACCCTGAACCCTAAACCCTAAACCCGAAACCCGAAACCCGAAACCCTAAACCTTGAACCCTAAACCCTAACCCTGTGCCGAAACCAGACTCCCCAATCAACCCCGAAGTCGGCCTATACCCTAAACCCCAGGGTCCGCAAGCCCCAGACCCCTGACACCAACACTTAAGTAACAGCCTCTAGCCTATCTATGCATCCATGGAACACAACTCAACTTGTCAACTAGAAAGCTCACGGCTGGGTGGTAGGGTTTAGGGTCTAGGGTTTTAAGGTTTTTGGGTTTAGGGTTTAGGGCTTCTAGCGTTTACAGGATTTCAGGCCCCTACAGGTTCGGCAAGCCTCTATCTGCTTGAACCGAAGCACTCCTTGATACAGGCCTGAGGGGTCCTATGCGGTGTATCATGGGTATGTTAGATGGCATCCTAAACTTGAAACCCAAACACTAAACTCCCTGAAGTCTCCATACTCCCCAAGCTCCCCGAACCTCAGACCCTAAACCTTCAACCCTAAAGCCTAAACCCTCAAGCCCCTGTAAATCGAAACTATTCTAAAAGCCTCTCCAAAACAGGCAAACTTTCCTCGAAACTCCTCGAAACTTTCCCCAGACCTGAACCCTGAATAATTTCAATAAACCCTAAACCCTAAACCCTAAACCCTAAACCCTAAACCCTATAAACCCTAAACCCTTCATCGCACTCCGGGCCGCTTGAAGGGCACCCGCGACTTGAACCCCGGGTTGGCTTCGAAGAAGGTCTCCATCTCCTTGTCGTAGCCTTTGGGTTTAGGGTTTAGGGTTTAGGGTTTAGGTTTTTAAGGTTTTAGGTTTTAGGGGCTTAAGGAAGGTTGGGGAATTTAGGAGCCTTTTTGAGGGGTGTGAGGAAGTTTGGGCTTAGGGTCTGAAGGGACGAGGATGATTTTAGCGCCAAGCCCATGGTCGCTCAGGATGTAGGGTTTAGGGTTTAGGGTTTAGGGTTTAGGGTTTAGGGTTTAGGGCTAGGGCAAGGGGAAAGGTCTAAGAAAAAAAAGAGAAGACCCAAGGGGGCGAAGGGTGCTTCAGCTTTGGGATTTGGGCCCTCAAGGCTCTCGTATACTTTCTCAAAAACCGATACTGATAAGGGTATTTAGGGTTTAGGGTTTAGGGTTTAGGGTTTAGGGTTTAGGGAGTTCCATTAAAGTATCAAAACAGGTTTGAGGCATGACGACCGGATCCGACATGGTTCAGGGGGGGGTTAGGACTTAGGACTTAGGGCTTAGGGTTTAGGATTACAGGGTTTGTGCGTCACTTCTGGATCGCAAGAGTTGATGCATTCAAGGCGCGACTTCTTTCTACCATCCCTAAGCCAAACCCTAGACCCTAAACCCTAAAGCCTAAACCCTAAACCCTAGGGTTTCAGGCCGTTCAGGGTCCAGGGTTGAACCTCCGTTCTCTCCTAGACTCCAGGCCTGCGAAGATGGCGATCACCTGCAGTGGAGCTGGGGAGTTTGGGCGGCCGACGCACCTTCACCCCAAACCTTGTTGGGGTCTTAGGGTTCAGGGTTTAGGATTTCTTACACACCTTCACCCGAAACCTTACTCGGAGGTTCATGGTACTTAGTAACCTTATCGCGAACTTTTAACCCAATTATAAGCCTTTTCGGGTACTTAAGTACCACGAACCTCCAAGTATTAGTTTTTTGTGGGGTTTAGGGCTTAGGGTTTAGGGTTTAGGGTGTTCAGGGCACTTACCGGCCAACTTCTTCCCGAAGCCCACCCTGCGCAGTGCCGCGGGCTTCTTACGCCCGGAGAGAAGAGGCCCAACATGACCGGTTTGGGCAGTTGTCCGGATTGGTAGCTGGACTCCAACTCTAAACCCTAAACCCGAAACCCGAAACCCCAAACCCTAAACCCTAAGCCCTAAACCCTAAGTTCGTGCTTGGAGGGCCCACCCCCCACCTTTCTAAGTAACTCAGGCTGCCAAGAGAAGTACCTACAGGTTTTAGGGTTTAGGTTTTAGGTTTTAGGGTTTAGGGTTTAGGTGAGAGAAGCAGCCAAACATTGAACGTTAAAAACCTTGGCAGCCCAGGAACCTTGTTGTAGTAAGGGGGCCCTCTTTTGGGGCTGGTTACTTTACATGGGAACCTTGAAGCAAGAAAAGGGCAACAGGGTGCCACCGGGCTACCAAGATAGTCAGAGGCCCTCGTGGAATTCTTTCGTGTTTACCCTAACCCTAAACCCTAAACCCTAAACCCTAGTCCCTGAACCCTTATAACCCTAAACCCTAGTGAACTACAAGGATCCCATCTTACCCGTTCTTGGCGGGGAAATGTGGGTTTGGGGTTTAGGGTTTAGGGTACAAGGATCCCATCTTAACCGTGGGGCTTCATAGTGGGGGCCCTGTAGACGCTCTCCCGGGATGACTGTAGGGGGGGGGGGGGGGGGGGGGGGAGGGAGATTGACATGCTGAGGGCTTTGGGTTTTTGCATGTCCCTCACCTACTACGAAGAGAGAGGGTTGGCTTCAGGATTGGAAATAATGTCAAACTCCGCTCTCCCGCCCTCTGAATAACGGGGGCTTAGGAGTTTAGGGTTTAGGTTTCAGGGTTTGGGGTTTGGGGTTTAGGGTTTGGGGTTTAGGGTACATCCTGTAGCCAGGAGCTCATAGAAATTTGACCTGAGGGCTCGGAACCAAGCCCGAATGGAATTAGGGTTTATTGGGTTTAGGGTTTAGGGTTTAGGGTTTGGGGGTTGTAGTTCGTAGGTTCGTCGGGTTTGGTGGGGTTTGGAAGGGTTTGGAGAGGTTTGGAACCCCGAACCCTAAACCCTAAACCCGAAACCCTAAACCCTCAACCCTAAATCAGAAGCAATGCCTTGTCCCGCTTGTCCTCAATCTCCTTGATCAGGGTGTCGACCGCCTCTTGGCCAAACTTGTCCTTGCCCTCCTGGATGTTGGTCCGGTTTTAAGGTTTAGGGTTTGGGGTTTAGGGTTTAGGTTCAGGATGTACCTTGGTAGTTTACCGGCAACGCCCAAATGCGCTGCGAAAAAAACCTCAGGATATGGCTGCTTGCAGTGACTTTGAAGGGGTTCAGGGTTTTGGCAGCGCCGCTAAACCCTAAACCCTAAACCCTAAACCCGTCTCCTTCTTCAAGGAGTAGGCTTCATCGATGAAGAGCACGCCTCCCGTCGCTTTCTCCACGGCACCAATCACCTGCACGGCTCGCTTCCGACTCGGTGCGGCACTCAGAACTTCGAGCCGGGCCGTCACAGCAACGCAATTTTAGTGAAGGGTTTACGGTTTAGGGTTTAGGGTTTCGGGTTTCGGGTTTCGGGTTTAGGGTTTAGGGTTTAAGAAGACGGAAATGATGTTTGCTGGGTGTAGGGCTCTAGGTCGCTCCTCCCAAAGCGCTACAAACACCCGAGCTCTCAACCCCGAAATTTCCCCCAAATACTTACTGTTGGTTAGTAGGGGATGAGGGAATGAGGTACCCTGTATAGTCCCTCAAAAGGGTATATATTATATATAGGGGGATATAGGGTGCCTTCTTCCCTCATTTCCTACTAACCAACAATAAGAAAACCCACAGAAGTTCGGCCTTTGGAGCTGTCTGGCCCGTGTACTCCGCGACAAGGTCCGCTCGCGAGACTTCATTGAAGATGGTTTCGTCGCCTTCCTGGGTTTACTCTGGGTTTAGGGTTTAGGGTTTAGGGTTTAGGGTTTAGGGTTTAGGGTCTCGGGTTTAGGGTGTAGGGTTTAGGGTTTAGGGTCTAGCACCCAAGGTTTAGGGTTTAGGGTACTCCGACCTTCCTGGGTTGCGGCTAGTGGGAGGGTTTGGGAATCTAGGCCTTAGGGCTTTGGGTTGCTACTAGCTTAGCTGCTGTTGCCATAGCAAGGATATAGCTTCAATCCTCAAACCCAAGCCTGCGGGCTCAGGGCTTCAGGGTTTTGGGGTTGCAGCTCTCACCCCAAACCCCACCCTAAACCCTAAACCCCAAACCCCAAACCCTAAACCCTAAACCCTAAACCCTAAGCCAGCTTCCAGAAGTTAAACTCCTTAGCAGCAACCCAGCGCGCAAGAATAGTTACCCACGACAGAGCCCGTGGTCGATGACCCTGAACTCCCCCCATAAATATAAATCTAAACACCACTGCAAATGATACATGCAAATCATATGTGCAAAACTCTGAGTCCCGAAGCTCTTAGCTTTTTTTTTCCGGGCCATGCAAGATGTCGCACAGGGTCCACTCTAGCAGGACTCTAAGTGGTTCGAGTTTCAGGGGTTTAGGGGTTGGGATTTTAGGGTTTCAGGGTTTGAGGGTATTAGGGTTTAGAGGCTCGGGGTTTAGGGCTTAGGGTTTAGGAATCAGTGTTTGACTAAACCACCACAACTCCCGTGCACCTCATCGGGTACCAAGTTCTTTGGACAAGGGAACGTGGGAAGAACGCATCTGGCTGCAAGTAGGCGAAAATAAGCTCGGGGGCTGAGAAAATGTCTGAAGATTCTTTGGGGCGCAGAGTAACCTGAACCCTAAGTCCTAAACCCCTAAACCCCTAAACCCCTAAACCCCTAAACCCCTAAACCCCTAAACCCCTAAACCCCTAAACCCCTAAACCCCTAAACCCCTAAACCCCTAAACCCCTATACCCCTAAACCCCTAAACCCTAAACCCCTAAACCCTTAACCCCAAACCCCCTGAGGTTAAAGCTTAAAACCCCCCCCCCCCACCTTCGCGATAACGCCCATCTCCACAAGGAGTTCTCCGACGATGCGCGCGACGACGGTCTTGCCAGTTCCTGCGTGGTTTTGTGTGGGTGTAGGGTTTAGGGTTTAGGGTTTAGGGTTCGGGTTTAGGGTTTAGGGTTTAGGCTTTAGGGTTTAGGGTTTAGGGTTTAGGGTTTAGTAGGGTTTAGTAGGGTTTAGGGTTTAGGGTTTAGGGTTTAGGGTTTAGGGTTTAGGGCTAGCCTACAGATTTTGGGTAGTTTGGGGTTCCTTTTTCTCCTACGAAGCCTTACGTTTCGTGTCCTTAAAAGGTACTCACTAAGCCCTAAGCCCTGAACAGAAAACCCTAAATCCTTAACCCTACGCCCTGAACTCTACTTTACCCTGAACCCTGTACGCTAAACCCTGAGTCCTGTTTAATCCTAAACCCTAAACCCTAGACAGGATGGAGGGCTAGGCTTCATAGGGCTCAGGGTTCGGAGCTCGAGGCTCAAGATTCGTAAATCAACCGCCCACATAATCATCTCAAACATAGGGCTTCTTGTTCAGGTTTAGGGTTTAGGGTTTGGGGTTTAGGGTTTAGGGTTTAGGGTTTGGGGTTTAGGGTTTAGGGTTTAGAGAAGCACCAGCAAGTCACACTTGCAAACCCTAAGCCGTATAGAAGCTCACTGAAAGCCTTGAGCCCCTCAGCCCTGGCCCCTAAACCTTAAACCCTCTTAGGGTTTAGGGTTTAGGGTTTAGGGTTTAGGGTTTAGGGTTTAGGGTTTAGGGTTCAGGGTTTAGGGTTTAGGGTTCTTAGCCCCTGGATCCGACACCGCCCCTCTCTCAAAGAATCTTTGACCCGGTAGCCCAATAGCCATAATTACGATAAGGGCACCCTTTTTTGGGTTGGTTACTTTATCTAGGCTGCCCAGTAACCTGGGCTGAAAAAGGGTGCCCTGTTTTGCATCAAGGGGTTTCTAAGGGAACCTAAACCCCCCAAAAAGGGAATAAGGGTACTACAGGGCATCCTAGTTATAAGGGAACCTTGAACCAACAAAAAGGGAAAAGGGTACCACTGGGCGGCAGCACCTGGATTGCCCAGGAACTGCATGTGGAAGGACTGACCCATGAGCGACTTGGCGTCCGGGAGGAGCTTCTTGCGCCTCGGAGTCAAGTACACCCCACCTTCGGTACAAGTTTAGGGTTTAGGGTTTAGAGTTTAGGGTTTAGAGTTTAGGGTTTAGGGTTTAAACCCTACATAGTAGCCCCAAACCCCAGGCCCCAAACCCTGAAACCCTGAACCCCGAATCTCCTCAACCCAAAACCCCTAAACCCTGAAACCCTAAGCCCGAAAACCCTGAACCCTGAAACCTAGAACCCTCAACCCTGAACCCCTAAATCCAAAAAAACCCTAAACCCTAAACCCTAAACCCCTGAGCCATGGCGCCATTGGTCGAACTCCACCATGGCGCGGAGCTCGGCCATACCAGCTTTCACCTACACGGGTTGAAGGTTCTAGGTGTGGCCCGGGAATGTTCAGCAAGGGTTTAGGGTTTAGGGTTTAGGGTTTAGGGGTTTAGGGTTTAGGGTTTAGGGTTTAGGGTTTAGGGTTTAGGGTTTAGGGTTCCCAGCAACGGTTGCGCCTTCGAGGGCCTCTGAAAAAAGGGATCCTGAGATGGAAAAAACGGGTACCACTTGGCATCCTCGACCTGACCAAGCCATGCCATGAAGCACGACTCCACTCATAGCACTGCTATAGGTACTTTCCTGAACCTTATTTGGTATGCCTCTGGCACTGCGTTTGACCTGCTACTAGCGGAGTGCTTGGAGATTCATGGTACTTAGTGACGCAATTTCTATCCCTGTTAGGGTACTGCTGGCTCCTCAGACCCTGCCGAAGCCTCGGCCCCTGCCGAAGATGCTCTTCGAGGGGGCACTCTCACGTGGGACCCCTTTCGAGAGGTACTTCTCGTGCCACTTGGCACTGCAGGCCCTTTTTTTGCTTCATCCTCCTCCTTCCTTCGACTTGGGGCACAATGTCTTCAGGACCAGGCCCCGGGTGCGCTTTGGCTTGGGCGTCGGTTCGGGCACTGCTCCTTGAGCATCTGGATCCAAAGCAATCTGGCCCGCTGCCTCTTCCACCCAGCCAGGTTCCGGAGTTGGCTGGGCCTCTTCCACCCAGCTAGGTGGAGGGGCTTATACGTGGGTTATAACTGCACTCAGAATTGAGTTATAAGTACCCTAAACCCTAAACCCTAAACCCTAAACCCTAAACCCTAAACCCTAAACCCTAAACCCTAAACTCTAAACCCGAAACCCTAAACCCCCTGAACCTCCAAGTGCTACTACTCAAGCGGTGATGTTTCCGGCCCAGCTGAGCCTTTGTCAAGCCAACCATGTTGTTCAGCTTCTCCATCAGCTTGTCGACCTCAGATGCCGGCCTAGACCCTAAACCTCCCCTTGAATGGGTTTAGGGTTTAGGGTTTAGGGTTTAGGGTTTAGGGTTTAGGGTTTAGGGTTTAGGGTTTAGGGTTTAGGGTTTAGGGTTTAGGGTTTAGGGTTTAGGGTTTAGGGTTTAGGGTTTAGGGTTTAGGGTTTAGGGTTTAGTGTTTAGGTCTAGGGTTTAGGGTTTAGCGTTTAGGATTTAGGCTTTAGGCTTTAGGGTTTAGGTTTAGGGTGACTCGAAGAGCAAACACGACTGCCTGCGGATTCCTCCTGCAGATTAGGGCTTGGGGTTTTGGGTGGTAGGGCTGTTGGGTAGACCCCCAGTTGTAGCTAGTTCCTTGTGGGGAATACCCCCGCGCCCCCCCCCCCCCCCCCACCCGCAAGCCCTAAGCCCGAAACCGGCCTCACGCCAAACATGTTTTTGATCATTCTCCTTGACGAAGAATGTTGCGACTTTCACAAAGAATACTTTGCTTTTCAGCTTTCATGAACGTTTCAGCATTCTTCATAAAGGTAACAGATGCGAAGAGAAAATGTCCATGACCACGTTGACAGCCTTCATCAAGACTTCCACAGCTTTCCATAAAAGAATGATTCGCAGATGTTAAAGGGGACCAAGGGCCAGGGGTAAGGTCCAAGTCTCGTGTCTAGGTGTGTACCGGGTTTAGGATGTAGGGTCTACAGGGGCTTTGGGACTTTGAGGGCAAGTCAGCGGTGTAGAGTGTAGGATATCGGGGTCTAGGTTTATGGCTTGGGTTCTGTTATTGAAGGGTTACGGACTTGATGCTACGGGTTCTAGCTTGTCTGAGGAGGAGCCCCTCAGATCCGAAGTACAAGGACACACAACCCAAAGACCCAGACCCAAACCCTAAACCCTGAACCCTAAATCCTTCGAAGATCTAAACCCTCAACCGACCCAAACCCTGAACCCTAAACCCTGAACCCCAAATCCTTCGAAGATCTAAACCCTCAACCGACCCAAACCCTGAACCCTAAACCCTGAACCCTAAATCCTTCGAAGATCTAAACCCTCAACCGACCCAAACCCTGAACCCTAAACCCTGAACCCTAAATCCTTCGAAGATCTAAACCCTCAACCGACCCAGACCCTAAACCCTAAACCCTGAGCCCTAAATCCTTCGAAGATCTAAACCCTCAACCGACCCAAACCCTGAACCCTAAACCCTGAACCCTAAATCCTTCGAAGATCTAAACCCTCAACCGACCCAGACCCTAAACCCTAAACCCTGAACCCTAAATCCTTCGAAGATCTAAACCCTCAACCGACCCAAACCCTGAACCCTAAACCCTGAACCCCAAATCCTTCGAAGATCTAAACCCTCAACCGACCCAAACCCTAAACCCTAAACCCTGAACCCTAAATCCTTCGAAGATCTAAACCCTCAACCGACCCAAACCCTGAACCCTAAACCCTGAACCCTAAATCCTTCGAAGATCTAAGCCCTCAACCGGCCCAGACCCTGAACCCTAAACCCTGAACCCTAAATCCTTCGAAGATCTAAACCCTCAACCGACCCAAACCCTGAACCCTAAACCCTGAACCCTAAATCCTTCGAAGATCTAAACCCTCAACCGACCCAAACCCTAAACCCTAAACCCTGAACCCTAAATCCTTCGAAGATCTAAACCCTCAACCGGCTAAGCCCTAACCTGAGCTGCGAGCCTTCTCATTGGCGCCGCCCGGAACTGCCGCCTTGTCAGTTCGCTGAACCAAAACAAGGAGGCCCTAAACCCTCAACCCTCAACCCTAAACCCTAAACCCGAAACCGTAAACCCTAAACCCTAAACCCTAAACCCTACTCTAAGGGTAGTTACATGTTCCCTTAGTATGGGCCCCTGAAAAAGTGCCCCTTATATACCGCTTATATACCCTACACAAATTAAGGGCCCAAAGCAATACCCGGAGTATCCCTAACACAGGGGCGTCAATAATTGCAATAGGTTTTTTTGGGGGAGGGGGGGGGGGGGGGGGGGGTGGGGGTTATTGTAGTTTAGTAGTGTTATATAGGGGCCATAAGGGAAAAATATAGGAGCCAGAAGGGACACCATTAGTAATTCTTCCGACCCCTATAGCATACCTTACTGATTTTATTCACAACCAGAGTACATATGCTACCCAAAAGTGATGGTGCATTCCGGAATTCGGAGCCAAACGTAGGGTTCAGGGTGTAAAGAATAGCGGTCTGGGTTTGGGCTTCCGCATCTACCTATGGAGGGTCTGGACAAGGTCACACAGCCAGATTTCTCTTTTGGGTACCTTCTAATCTTCTGATTTCATGAAATCATGCCCCCCCCCCTCCCCCAAAGCACACCCCTTCCTCCCAGAAGAGAGCAGGCTCTGAGGTCTCACGCATCATGGTGGTAGACTAGCACGCTTAACGGACCGCACCTAGGTTTTTGTTTACCCGGGAAGTAGAAGCGTGCATCAAGTTCGGCATAATGCGGCTCCATCTTGCCAACCTAACGCCTTTAACGCCACAAAAAGAAAAGAAAGGGTAGGGCGCACAAAGAACGGAGGCGAAGGACTTGCCCATTTGTCGTAGGGGCCCTTGTGCCCTGAAACCCCACACCGTAGAACCCTGCAGACTCTAAACTCCTCAAGCATATGCTAACCCTGAAACCCTGAAACCCAGAAACGCCCTAAGCCCAACACGCGAAAACCAAAGACCCTTAAAGCCCTGTGCCGAAATGTGGAGGTTGCCTCTTCCAGTTTAACTTCCGCCTCGGTCTTGCCAGGCCGGATGGGCCTGGGGAGTTCGCAAAGGAATGTCTGCGGGTACAGGGTTCAAAGGTCGAAGGCTTGGGGCTTAGGTGTTACCCTTTTAGGGTTTAGCGTTTAGTGCTTGGGGTTTCGGGAGGCTCAGCACACACCCAAAACCACATGATCCTGTGGCCTTTGGGCACAAGAAACTTGAGAGAAGCGCGCACGCTCCAAGCATAGCTGCATAGCTCTTCAAAGACTCCTCACCAAGCGAAACTCCAAAAAGGCGGCCGGATCACCGCTGGGATTTTAATGACTCTGATTGTTGTATCATCCTGCACAGACATGCCGGAGGAAAGCTGGAGGTGGGCAGGCCAACACGCAGGCATGTCAGCCGGGTAAGGCCAGCAACCTAGGAGATAGGCTATAGTAGAAGCCAAAAAGTTGGAAACTCAACAGCCTCAATCCCTACGAGTAAAGCATAGGGAATCCCAGCACTATTTGTCCTTGAAAAGGTTTCCAACTTTCTGGGGTTTACTGTAGATGAGGACAGCCGCAGAAAAAATGGGTCGAACTGGGCTTGCCCAAGCCCAGGGGTTGCACCCGCGACGGACCGCACGTGAGCAGGTGGACTCTGCCAACGTGCTCTGCCAGATTGAACAAAGCTGGCAATCACCCCGCCTAAACCCTAAACCCTAAACCCTAAACCCTAAACCCTAAACCCTAAACCCCAAACCCTAAACCTTAAACCCTAAACCCTAAACCCTAAACCCAAGATGCATCCCACAGTCATAGGCAAGTCTGTGCCAAACAAGGTCGGATCCAGAACAAGGGCGCCCTTTCAGTCTGAACGGCTTAATAAAGGGATGCTAGCACTGGCGCCCAAACCTGAATCCCTGAGCCGAGACCTTCAACCCTAAACCCCAAACCTATATACCTCAAAAGCCCAGAGCGACAACCTTGAACCCTGAACTCTCAACCTTTAAACTCTACGCCCCCAAACAACCAACACACACATATATATATATATATACACACATGCACAGAAACTTTTATCTACATATACATATATATATATGTATATATATATATATATACATATACGTACGTGTGTGTGCACAGATAAACGTCAAGCACAGAAACGAAGACAGAAAGACGCACGAATACATACAAGTCACCTATAAGCATGAATACAAATTCTAATAGACATATACATATTAGTGTGTATGACATATATATGTATATAATGCATATAATATATATATATATATATATGTATATATAATATATAAAAATAAATAAAAACTAATACATAAATATATACATATATATCTATCACATAATGCACATTTCAAATACAAACAAAGAAATATGTACACAACCGTGCACAGCTGCCTCGCCGGTGCGTCGTCGCCACCGTGGTACCGGGGGCCGGGAACCACCGGCCGTGACCTACGTTGTGTGTGCTGTAGAGCTTGACATTGTGGTGTAGGTTTTAGGGTTTAGGCTTTAGGGTTTAGGGTTTAGGGTTCAGGGCTTAAGGTTGAGGATTTAGGGTTTAGGTTTCAAGGTTTAGGGTGTAGGCTTGTGGGTCTGGGGTTTGTAGGGGTCAGGTCTCGAAAGTGCCAAAGAATGGTTTGCCCCCTTAGCCCCCCAAGCAAGGTTTTTGGCCAGTATCGTAGGTAGTTCGGGGTCTAGGTACAGTTTAGGGTTTAGGGTTTAGGGTTTCGGGTTTAGGGTTTTGGGTTTAGGGGCAGAAGGTGCTTGGAAACCCTAAACCCTAAAGATGTCATCTTTGAAGAATGTAGAGCCCTCACCCCAAAAGAAACCAAGCAACCCATGCCGAAAACACTCAGTGCTGCCACTCTTTGAACTTGGGAAGCCTAAGCCTATACGTCTCGGGACCCAACAGCTGGGATACTTGACCCAACACACACAATTATGCGGTCCTAGAAGTGTAGGCGAGGCACCCTAAACCGTCAATGCTTGACAGGCGCCGCACGTTGGCCCGAAGGGGGGGGGGGGGGACATTGAGCATGCAGTTGGAAGCACAGCTTTGTCTCAGTGGTTTGGAGCAATCAGGATTCTTACGTATACGTACTGGGTAGCCCAGTAACCCTATTGGGTTGGTCACTTTATAAGGGAACCCGAAACCAAAAAAGGGTAAAGGGCACCACTGGGCTACCAAGCATACATACACATAATCACATAATATGCTTTTCCTATAACGCAGCATGATTTTGGGGGGTCCCGGAGCCTTACACGGTATGGATTGGAAACTCATGGCGCGCTGGAGGGGTAGAGCGCATGGTACTGATCCAGCATCGAGCTTGAAAGCCTGAAGCGGGGTACTCTCGAACTAAGCCCTAAACCCTAGCCCTAAACCCTAAACCCTATAAGACCTAAACCCTACATCGACTGCTGTCCGGGGCACGGCCGCGGCGTGGTGCGGGCGGTGTACATGTTCGGATCGTACTTGTTCCCATTCTGTGCATGGATGTCGGGGTTTAGGGTTTAGGGTGTAGGGTTTAGGGTTTAGGGTCTGGGGTTTAGGGTTTAGGGTGTAGGGCTTCAGGTGTGATTGGGGAGCTTGTCACATCACTTGGCGGTTCTGACATATGGATTTTGTTGGGGACTCAGCTACCTGAAAACCCCCTTGTCAATCCTGCATGGGGTTGTGTCGGGAACTGAATTTCTGATTCCCTACGAAGAATCAGTATAATCAGTTTTTGGGTGGTGTGACAGGATACCTGAACCCTAGGCGTCATTTTTCGTTAGGCGAGGTTGCGTGTAGCATTGCCTTGGGCAAATGAAAACCCGCAACATTGCCTTGGGCAAAT